TGACAATAAATTATTTTAAAATATAAAAATTTATAAAAAATAACACGTGCATCAAATTTCATGGCAAATTTTATCAAATATTTCATTTATAGTCTTGTTTAATTATATTTGTACAATCTCAACGAATAACGGTTTATTTCACGTAGTATCCACTTATTAGATTCAGCATTAAAATTCAGTGCAAAATAATTATAATCACATTAAATTCTATATTAATAATTGAGTTAACGTTACAAAAAAATATTGATAAAATCATCTGCGTACAATTGCTCGTTTCGCATTTCGCAAAAGTAAATTCCTTTCATTCGACGTTATGGCCATTGATTGTAATAATCAAACTTAATAATGTTCATCAATAGAGTTATCAGCATTATTGGGTTTAAATCTTGTAACCAAGTAAACATAAATGCAAATGATTTATAATTAAATGTGAAATTAGCAGAAAAACAAATAATCCATGATTAACGTTACCGCTTAGGTATAACTCGTATAAAGATGGAGTAACCATGTGCGACATATACTAAGTGGTAGATAAATATTTTAGTTTTCAACAAATAATCAATAAATTCTCAATAGGTGCATTGATAATGAAAAATCATCGCTTAATAAGTATTAATTGCGTGCTCAGACGCAAAAACATACTTATTTCACTCGTAATCACAATCGATCATCTCACAACAAACCGCATATTCTCTCGACCGAAATTCGCATGCAACTAAAAAGCTCACTGATAAATATCTCTCATGTCGAATAAAATGAATAAATATCTTAAGCACGTAACTACTCGCAACTATGGTAGAGCTTCATAAAAGAGCATCATTGATATTATAATTAAGACGGCATAGAGCACCTGTTTTGTGTGATGTATACCCTTAATTTGAGTTCCTTTTCACGTGACATAGATTTCTTTTTTTCTTTTGAATCCTCTCTCTCTCTCTCTCTCTTTCTCTCTCTCTCTCTCTCTCCACATATGTAGCTTTATCTTTTGCTCGTGCGCGCACGCGTGTGCCCATTACGCGTCGAAAGCTTTAATTAACTAATCCGAGCGTTAGACTTTTACACGACCAAGCGCGCGCCCATACTCAACTGAAAGAGAGGACGAGAGAGAGAGAGAGAGATAGAGACAGATAGGGAGATAGATAAAAAAAGAGAGATAGAGAGAGAGAATCCATTCGCGTATAGTCTGCGTTCTAATTAATACGGATTCGACGAGCCGCGACTCTGCCTCGATAAAAACGGCCTACGAGTATATGCCTGAATGCCAGGGTCGTGCCAAGTCGGTTACCGGTTTCACGTCCGACATTAGCGTTGTCACTAATGGCACGGTGCTCACCCGGAAATTCTACTAATGTCATTCACAAACGTTTCGTTCCTTTACAATAATAAATTTGTATTTTAGTCGTTTACTTTTCATTAAAAATTTGAATTCACAATTTTTCAAATTAATAATTTTTGTTATACATTTTTTTACTTTCAATTACGTCGTTTACGTTACATCATTACGATGCAATTTTTAGTCTCACTGCCTTGTGATAGGCAGGTTGGTTTAGTAAAATTTCAGAGTAAAAACAAGATAATTATATAAAATACCAAACTAAGTCGATATCACTAAACTAAGTCGGCATCAGAGATAATCCCGAGTAATACGCTAATTACGCTACTGACTGTGCATAGAAAATAATTAATACCTTTTATATAGAGGTCTATTGATTTAAAAAATGAAATTACATAAGTTAAATATAGTGTACCTTATACGAAAATGTATATTGTATGAAGTTATAAGCGATTGGAAAAGCAAGAGATGTATATATTCTGAAGCTGCCAGATGATTTATGAACAATAAGATGCCAAAAATCAAGAATGTTACTTGAAGGAATTAAGAGCAATACTTATCGCGCATACGACTCAACACGCATTAAACCTTAGAGCATAATGATTCTCGAGGAAAATGTATATGAGCAACCTTCAAATGTGGTAGCTCCTATTAATAATTAAACTATTATTAATAGTCTTGTGGCTTAGTTGACTTAGAGTCTCTGTTTGAATTTCTTAACTAAGTGTAATGTTACCATATCGTCGAGAGAGTAGGTCGTCTATTCTGTTCAGGATATCTTCAACTTCTGGAGATACAAAAAGACTTGTTGTTTGTTTGTTTGATGACTGATGCTTGACAATTGATTAATCTGAATGACATAAGCCTAGCCCTTTAAAACCCGTTTACTGATTAGCTAGCGATATATTTTACGTTGAGTGTGGAATGTTTGAATGCTTCCTGACCGAAGTTGTTTGTCTCTGATACTTTTCTACTTAGACTTACTCATAAATAGTAGCTTTAACATTAGAGGGAAAAAGGTTTGGTTTATTTTCGAAATCTTTATGAGCAATAGATAAGATTGTCTTAATGTTCTTCTTTTTACCTCTATGTGTGTATGTATAAGTGGACGTCTCTGTGCGTGGACAAGTGTGTACATAAAACAAATGTTTGAATACAATTGTTTAAATGATTTCGTTACATTTTGACAGTCTCATCCCTCGAGCGTAATCTTTTTAATAAAACTTGTCCAATAACCTATTATAACCCAATTAATCACTATGCAGAAGCGATCATCTAAAAACTCATAAATTTAGTTAATACGTCAGTGAAGAAATAAAAAATTTTTCAATCTTATCTCACAATGACATATGATCAACTTTTAAATAATTTACTTTTAAATATTTTTTGTCGGTATTCAAAACAATAAGTTATAAATTGTCTAGCAGTTTTAAGTTAATTGCTTGATTACCTTTGACTGATTGAGTAATTGAAGAAAAGATAACAAATAAGAAATGAGCATGTACTACAAATGAGGGTACAATTTATGATGGTAGCTGCGGAGCTACTGATAAAAAATAATTCTCATTATCCGGATCCTCATCCGGTCAATCTAGCCGTGACTCTGAATTGTCGTCAATGCTCCACTTATCAGACAAGACAAACAACTTCGAGGAAAGAGAAAAGTCAGCAAAGAAGTGACGCCCAACAAACTCCCCGCATGCCTTAGACTTCGTTGAGTTAGAGCCTCCTATTTACGACGTCTCATCAATATTTCCCACTGGAGATGCACGCGTTCGACTAAGTATGCTTGTGGCCCTGGCAGTGACAAGTACGAGGAGGGTTGAGAAACTTAAAGGGAGGGTGAGAACCGATATTGCTTCCTATGCTATGTGGCAGCCACTGCGCTGCTGCAAACACCTTCTCTTTCTGCATCTCTTCCTTCTCTCCCTCTCGTTTGTTGTAACGCTTCAGTGACTCCGTAGAGGAGTAGCTTTTAGCCCAGTACAGATATTTCAAGGTTACACGTACATTTTCAAGCTCATCTTTTTTCGCACGAAAGTCAACACATTATTCGTTGGCTCTTTGCCAATACTGAGGCGACTGCACTCGTTTTCTACTATCATCTTTTTCACACTGTTTTCAGTAGTATAAGTCAATATTAGATGATACCAAGGCTTGCGTTTTACGACGCTACAAAAAAAGCCAAGTGATCACTTCGTATTGCATTATTGAATCAACTTTCGACAGTTTCAACTTTTGCCATTGGAACTGTTTATTTTACCTTTTTATTATTACTGTTATTATTACATTAAAAACTATTACTTTAATTGTTTAATACTATAGATTTCCAATAAAAAACACATCAATTACTTTTAAAAGATATTTCCTACGATTTTTGTTTAGGTCTATTAGATCAAATCAAATATTAATAAAGAAAAAAACGGAATTCCCTAAATCATTTAATTTAGAATGTCAAACAGTCGAAATTTAACACCAGTTAAGTATCCCAGTAAGTTTATACCAGTAAGTACCGCAGCGCGAATCGATATTAATTATACGTAGTACAGATAAAATCAAAGTACATTGTTATTCAGTACGCTTATATTTGTCGAATGATCATCAGTATATGATATTGATATAAGTAATTTTTTATGTTTTACTTGTTGATTTAATGTCTATTAAAAGTATTTATGTCTTTGATACAACGATAACACGTAGGAGAATTGTGAATATGAAAATTAAAAATTTTTAATGGAACAAGAACTATTTTAGTTGGAGAATTAAATAAACACATCGTAATTAAATGAAAACAGACTTAATCATATAAGTAAAGCTCGAACTATTGCATAGCATTCATGATCAAGGCTTAACCTGCTTACTCTGTGGGTTCATATAACTAGAACGCGTGTGCATGTGTGTATAATGCAAATAACTGACCGAGGTAGTCCAGTGAATCGAATAAAAATAAGCATGATTCATTAAAGCTATTTGGACAATTTCGGTCGGCTGTCTGTTGATTGCCCCTTCTCTCTCTTTCATGTGCACGTCCTCCTCCTTTCTCACTCACTAGTAGGCATACGAAAATTCGAGTCAAATATATACACAAGCGAGAAAGCATAGAAGCTTGCGCGCGCCAATTTAACAGTGTAACCCTTTATATTTTATACTGTATTGTGATTTTATTTAGATGCTCTTTTTACACTGTTCTCTTCCTCTCTTTCAAATTTCATTGCCCGCTTACAGAAAGCCCGCGTACGATTGGTATTATGCTGTCATTTGGATTTTCAGAAGAATCAAACGGAGTTTTATGACCTGTGAAAACGTTTCAATTCTCGCTCATAGCTATCATAAAATTATATCCATGACGAGGTATACGCCAATGAAAATGCGATTGCAACAGCTCTATATATATGACAGACTAATATCGATTAACTCACGTCAAGCTTTCTCTTAACTGTGAATCATTAAATGCTTATGTTGTTGAGTTTTAGTTGTCGAAGAGTAAGCAAGTTTCGAATAATTCAATTCCAGCATTATTTTCAACGTTTGAAAAGTAGAACTTAAAAACAACAGTTTCGTGCAATATTTTTACAACTCCATTATGAATGAAATGAATTTAAATTTAATTTCATCCTTTTACTCTGTAATTAATATTGACAAATAAAAATAAAAGCGTTTGACTTACCAGAACGTAAACAGCAAAAGGCATGACAACCATGGCGACGAGAAGATCAGCCACTGCAAGACTGACGATAAAGTAATTCGTAACAGTTTGTAACGTTCTTTCCCTACGCACAGCCATAATGACGAGGACATTTCCGAAAATGGTGAGACACGGCACGATCACAAGTATCATGGCCCACCAGTTCTTGGCGTAATCAACTTTGGCACTGGACGCTGCGTCTTCACACTCGCTGTAATTGCCATAAGTGGCGTTAATTGAGCAGCTGACATTGGCGTAACTCGCGTTTAGATCATAATACGAGGTGAGATTGGCAAGAGCACTGTAGTTCAACTTGTTGATGTAGTCGTTGAGATCGTCGAAGACAAATAGATCCGAGAGAGAGCCGTAGCCATCGATCGTTGCCAAACGGTTGCTGTTGTTATTGGCCAGCTGCAACAATGTCTCACTGTCATTGTTGTTGTTCTCGTTGAGCCATCCGAATTCCAAATCGACTAGGCTGCTAGTGACATCCTCGAGACTGTCGCTATCACTGACGTTTTGAAATGCGAGCCTAGGTATCGTCACCGATGCTGCTGCTACTGCTGCTACTTCACTCACCATACTCTCCATCTCTTCGTCTGCAGCAGGCGGGAAATTCGAATTACCGAGGGACGGATCTCATTAGGTTGATGCTTGATTGATCGATCCTCCTGCTGCTTCTGCTGCCGCTTTTGCCGCTGCTGCTGCTGCTGCCTTTAGAGACACTATTGCCTGCTCGTCATCCGATGCCATCTTTTGCTGCCGTTGCGCGAGATGTTTTTCTTCTTTCACTTCTACGCCTTCTGATGAAATCGTCAGTGAGTTGATGGTTTTTTCTCCACTATCACGCCCCCTGTTTCCAGGAAAAAACGCTCATGTGTGGGGCTGCGATGCTCGAGATGGACCAGCGCGATTCTCGAGGATTACTGTCTTTCTCCAACGGAGAACATGTCTAATGCCATCCAACGTCTGATCGATCTACCTGAAACATGACGTAAGAAATTAGATCGACTGATCCTGAGATATTCCGTACAGCTTTCTCTCTCTCTCTCTCTCTTCACATTTAGCTAACTTATTTCTTAAAAATTTTCGTTATTTTAGATAGGAATATTATACTACCCATTTTATAAAATGATAAGATTACGATATCGTATATTATATTTATGAATGATTTTTAAAACTTTTTCATCGTACAATTCATTTGACCAAGTTTAAAATATATTTCAGAAATTAATAATTGAAACTATTAATTGCTTCCAGTCATACCTTTCATTACGAGCAATGAAATTTACAACTTAGAATGAATTGCAAGCTCTCAATCTCAAAACCGTTAAACCAAAGAACTAATGAAGTTACACCAAGCTTGAGCTAACTGTGCAATGCTTTTTCGTTGATTACCGAATTTTTGCGGCAATATATCTAATTTTATTTGAAAAAAGGTTCGATCTATTGTCGTAACTTTTCCCGCCACGATTTATCACTTTAAGTATGTTTGAGGTTTCCGTAGTGCAAAAAAATGTTAACGGTCCAAGAGCCGCGGCCTCGAAATATTACAAAAAAGGAAGGAATACAAAACGTTTAGCTAGCTAGCTTCTCGCTCGTGGAAACTTCATTAAAGGTGCGTCGCGCGACCTCGTTTAAGAGCTCTTTATTTTTTTTATTTCCTCGTAGCCTCTAGCGGACTCGACGTCAGAAAAATTTCCGGATTTCTTTCGAGGTTGCCGCACTGCTACCATCACGTAAAACTCTCAACGGGCTCTATCGATGGGCAGGACTTCGATCAATCGTGACTATGTTCCCGGGAGATCTGATAGCGCATGTCTGGCATTCTCTTTTTTGTAACTATCGAACTATGTGAGAAATCAAGTTAATTTCGGTTATCTGGACTAGCTCAGCCGTTCTTAGCCTTACTCTCTCTATCTATCTACCTAACTATCTATCTATGCATCTAATATTTCATCTAGAAAAATTTTTCTATGAGAGATCCCACGAGCCCTTTTTTAGAATTTTTATAGAAAAAGTTCCAATAGTTCTCTTTATCGCTTGTTACTAAAGTGAACTTTAACCAATTAGATTTAAAATTAATAATTATTTAATAATTGTGAAGACCCATACTACAATACCAAACTAATACAATAATACGTCGCTTACTGCTGCTCACATGATTGTACACCATTTCCGTCGCTTTCATATATCTGTATTGTACATGTATTTTATATCGATCAGGGATTCGATTATAACAGTGACTTGAGAAAATTCCAATGAAGCTCTCAAAATGGTTAAATTATACGTAGATTCAGCAATTTTACTTTACGAGTTTGTCTAGCCGCGTGTGAGCGTTCGTGCGTGTGTGTGGTGAAGGAAGACCTGGATCATGATGAACTATACCATAAGATCAAAAAGGTTTTGAAAAAAAACTATTTCAATACATTTTTTCTTAATAAAAGATATATAAAGTTATAATGCTATTTCACGTGGAAAAATGAAAATTTTTATTAAAGTTTTTTCTATTTGAAGTTTTCAATATTTGATAGAGTTTTGAAATTGCTATTATGACGTGTAGCAGAACTTTGAAAGTCTGAAATACAAACTGTACAACAAGCGAATTTTAACAATTACCTTATTTTTATGAATGTAGTTTTTTAAATCATCATAGAATTATCAATATGAAAAGGTTTTTGAAAAGTAGATCAAACTCTTTGCTATTCTAATTAGTTCATAAAACTAATATTGATATAAGTATCACATTTTGACGCGACAATGTAAATTAATTAATTTTCGAAAACAGTACTCAACCTGATAAATATTTCGTTTGAAGAGCTTGAAATTTAGATCGGGCTTGCTTTTCGTCGTTATTTGATTCATCGAGAGCTGCATATCAAATTTAATAGACGTTGATGTAATTAACCTCCGTAGCGTATTGGTCAACAATCATAGTCAAATGTCAACGAAACTCGAATGAAATCCAGTTATCTCTGAAAAAAAGTTCAACGAAACACTTTTGTTTTATCTAAAAAATACACGTACGAGCTCTACGCTTGTCAAGAATTCGAAAGCAAGTTTTATTTTTTTATGTACGTACAAGGTTTAGAATAAAAAGTACTTTACTGTTTTTGTTTTTAACGTTTGTATCAACTGATTAGTTGTATCAATCATTAATCATAACTGTAATATTTTTATAACAAAATTATGAAAATAAATTTAAGCTTCAGTAGGAATACATATGCATCACACCTATAGCTTATTCGTTGATGTTAATGATTGAAATGGAAACAATAACTAGTATCTACCAGTCACGATCTCTAATTATAAGTAGCAGAAACCACTGAAAGAGCGACCTCAGTCACGTCGTCAATTGAAAGAAATCAATCGCCCGTAATAATTGATAACCTAAATATTCTAGCTAACAGGCTGATAAATATATTTTTTCTATTATCCTCATCTCTTAGGATCAATAATAAAGCTTAGAAATCTCCCAAATCTCTATAATACTATAGAAACAAATATCCGTTATACATGCAAAGAAAAATCCGTTTATATAAATCAGTCCCCTACGCACGTGCGTAATAAAAATCGGAACTTTTCTCGTTCTCTAAACAAATTCAGAAAAGTCGAAGCCAGTTTTGCGCATTTCCAAATTACTAAAGCTCCAAATGCTCACACATACATAGACACCATACATACCGAAACTCGTCTGTCAACCCTCGTTTTTCCATTCTCTTCCTTTTTCCTTACTGCCATTCTCTTTTTCTCTCCTTCGCATTTTTATTATTTTCGCCACTCCCAGCCAGTCTTACTTTGAATTCCAAATCAGTCGTCTCCGCTCAATGAGTAACTTCCTTCATTTCTCGAATCGAACACTTCGGTCTGAATAACGTTTCTCAACCAATGCTAACCTTTTCGGATTAATTCGGTGCGCAGACCTATATTTCAGTTCGAATGTTCAAACATATTTTTCTTTTTCATTCATTATACGTCTTCCGATATAATACTTGTGGCACGCGCTATCATTGCGTCTTCTACAGTACTCTCAACAAACTGAGAGTCGTAATCACTTATCGAGATATTGAACGACATACAGAAGTCTATACCACTCGACTTTTTCTAATAATATGTGTTGTTGTTCGACTTGAGTTAATTGAGTTAATTATTGTTAAAGTCAATTTGTATAGATAAATGCAATGAACGTATGCTGACTTTTTTGTCATTGAGCTTGTGAGTCTATAGAAAGTTTCTATTTTCATTTTTTAACATTTGAGAACTAGACTAACTAAATAATACATACTTGGATATTAATTTTTCTAATTTACATCATTTGAGTCGAATGGTGATATTAGATGCTTTCAAAAGATAGTCGACAGTTTTTTGATGAACGGAAAAACATGTTACAAGTGACATTTTCTTTTTCAATCATTTTGCTGCTTTAACGTTGAAATGCCAAGCAAAGCCTGATTTATTGTGGTAGTTGGAGGAAGTATTCGCAAGAAAACTATTTTTCGACTCCGTATCGATTTGAGCTTTCAAAGTGGACCAAAAAAAATTGATCTCTTCTGGTAGATCAAAAAACTTTAAAATTTCTCTCTCTCCCTCTCTCTCTCTCTCTCTCTCTCTCTCTCTCTCTCTCTCTCTCTCTCTCTCTCTCTCTCTCTTTCTCAAGTTTCTTCCGAAGTTGGTTTAATCAAATTTACTCTTGAAAAATGGACCAACTCAATTTACTTTTTCTATGGAAATCAAAATGCAAAGAAGCAATATCTCGATAATTTACCGAAATCACTCAGGAAATTTATTCTTAAATAAATTAATAATTAACATATTTATTGATAGCTTTCAATTTTGTCAACACTGCGTATATTATTTTTTCTCAAACTGAAAACTTTGAAGAGGAGAAATCTACTATTACCATCGTTATTTGTAACCTGATATTGAAATCCCAAGTATTCATTTTCAGTTAGAAGCTTAATAAGAAAAAAAGATAGAAGCTTGAGCGATGAAAAAACGCGGAAGACATTTACGGTATCAAATACACATGTACAGTTACACATATATAGGTAGAAAAGAAAGCTTTTCCGTAACCTAAACGGCTTTTCTCGAAGTTTCAGGTCGTGTGCGTGAATACACACACACGCGCATACACGCGCGCGCACATAGACCGCAAAAAAGCGAGAGGAAGGCTTTTACACGAGCACTTTAATGGATGTTTTTTATGTGAGAACCGGTTTGTTAAATAGTTTCACTACGACAAATCTTTGTTTTTGTTCTTTCTCGTTGGCGTCAAGTGTCGATAAATCCCCCTTCCCTTCCAGTGTGAAAAATCAGCTTTCTAATCGAAACCGATTAATGACAGATTACTTGCGCATCGTATTTGACGTAAACGGTAAATCTATTTACGCCATTCACATACTTAACTCACAAATAGAAGCACCATGAACGAGTATGCATGTGCTCTCGCGACTGCAAAATTTTATGAACTCATAAATATATTAGTATTCGCGGGAGTTGGGATATACACTGGGAATTCGAGAGTACACTTTACTGAATTGAATATCAAAAAGTTAATACTTCTCTGATCATTTGTAAAATCAACACTTTCGACGCTGATCGATCGGGTTTTTCACTGAGTTTATCATCGTATCGTTAATTTTATGAGCACGATATTTTATGCCATACTTATGACGATACTATGTAAGGCCATATATTGATTGTTTCGATACCCTTTCTCTCGATATGGCAATAATTATACCTTCTTATCTAGTCTATATACTTTTAGGATTCCAGCAAAATACACATGAATTGGTCTGATCAGTAGTTCATAATAGCGGGGTTCAACGTCTACACCTAAGAACTGTATACGAATTAATGGAACACTGTTTTTCAAAATTGTTTTATCTTACACCGCAATTTGTAATTGAAAACGTAAAATTAAACAATTATTTTAAAAAATTACTTTATAACAGTCAATGAACTTGACAATCAATACTGTTACATGTATTTATTAGAAATAGTACACATAGAATTTTCTAAACGATGAATAAAACTAACACGGTGAACGGAGTAAAGTAATCTGTTCATTTACGCGACAGGGACATTAAAATATATGACACATTTCTGAAAAGTCGCAATCATCAGCTACTTGTGATAAATGACTGCAAAAGTACACGCCAGCATATCAGCTGCGCAGCGATAGTAAAGTAAATTCCAAGCTCTGAAAAGGAAAGTCAAATGGCTGGTTGATGAATGCGGCAAAAACGAGTCAAGTCAAATATATGTATGTGTGTGTGTGTGTGTGTGTGTGTGTGTGTGTAGGTGGGTGGGTGGGTGTGTGTGTGTGTGAAGCTAGAGAAAACGTAAAGCGTCGTTGCGTGGCATTTCGCTGTAGCCAATCCAACGACGACAACTGAGATTAATACTATAGTGAATTATCTAATTAATTACCGGAAATTAACAAAAAGCCAAACTAATTGTGCTTTTTCATTCTTTTCAACGCCTATATCTCATTCCCTCTTTTTACTCCTTCGTTATCTCTTTTTACTCTCTCGTCTCTCTCGCAACTTCCTTGATGACCCTTTTCTGCTAGTACTTGGCATTTCTTATGGGCAAGTGACGCTGAGTCGCTTTTATTTATGGGCCTCTTCAAGACCGCGCCAGCCCCAAAATTGCCTAAATCGTCTGAAATTGACGCAAGCCTCGTCCTATACATACATGTATGTATACTCATGCTTAGATATATGTATACGTACTGTTGTAGGTCCTTTGATGAACAACATAATCTTAAGTGCCAAAAGCTATTAACTCGTTTTATCTCACGTTTTATCGCAACGTAACTAATATAAAAAATTAAAGAGATATTTACATATATGTACAGAGCATCCCAAACTTTTTCATTTAGATTATGTATGACAATATTGTAACAAAACTTCGCTAGTGTTGTATTGAATTGAAGAAAGACATGAAAACGTACGAAAATTCTGATTTCTTATAGATAGTGGAGAAAATGTATTTACATTACTGTAAATGCAACATATGTACATGTGTAGCCACTAACATGGGCGTCTGTAAAAGATGATATCATGATGAAATCAGATTCAAAGACGGTAATTTATGTTTAGTATTTCTTGAAAAAGTGGATGATGAAGTTTAAACATTCATTTCAATCAGTAAAATTAACAAATTAGTCATAAATCATACAAGAAAACTGAACACTTTATCGTTAGAATAATCGTCAGAATAATCGTAACCATTTTGAATAACGTCAAACAGCATAGCCAGCGAGCAGCTCTGCTTCATTTATTCTGTTAAAGCGGATAACTTTTGTAAATGTTTGCGAAACATTCTTCAAAGCACGTACAGACGCACAGACACCGAAAGCACAGGTGGATCTAACGCGTGCATTCCGTCTGCACACTCGGACTAATTCCCAAAGCTCCAGAAGCATGTTCTGGCGTAAGCAGTGGCTTGGAATTCGGTACATATTAGCCGCCGCGTGCGGCTCGCACAAGTTACACCTTCGGTTGAACAAGCGAATTCTATTACCAGTGGCATTCTCATCTGTAGCATCGAAGTTGCTCTCGGGGTCAACACGAGTATCTGTCGGAAATCGGGAATGCCTTAGGGTACTTGCCACATAGCAATTAATTACTCGCGCAAATTTCAAGAGCCTACGCGCGCGCGGTCGCGGTAGCTAGCGGCAAAACACGCGGGTCCGTCGCTTACCGAGAATGCGAACGGCGTTGATAAACTTTCGGTATGAACGCCAGCTTTCAGATATCCTATTTTATCGACTTGCATGCATATTTGCTTGCTTTTAACATACCTAGCGGAATTCTTTGTGATGCACAAACAATACAAGCTTACACCCCGATTTTTACGGCTAATTTTTGTCAACGAAGATCGACATTTACATCAATATTATCGCATTTTATCGATTTTTTTCCTTTTTGTTGCAGAAAGGTTAATACTAACATGAAAAATAAAATTCATAATTAAGCGGTTCGCTGCTACATTTTGCTTGCATCGAGAACGGTCAAATGAAACTGTTGATGAACTGAGAATTTGTAATTGTAACGATTAGAAATGACCATCCAGTGTACAACAATCAAAAATATCATTATTCCATAATTAAAAAACAAATTTTTCAAGTTAGCAATGAAGTCCGTTAACTTTGCTATCTACACAGTTTTTTTTATATATAATATTCAGAAGTAACAGCAATTTCGCAAAAACGACATGAAAAATAATATATTTACTGTCAGATACAGACACTTTTATCTACACGACAAGAACTATATTTTTCAGATCGAGAATTGAAAACTTGAAGACTTTGCAGCTAGAAGATTGAACAAGTTATTTAGTTATAAAGTCTTTGCAAACATAACAGATAATCAACGTCCTTGAAGAAAGTATAAGCTCTCGGAGCATAAGATATATAAATTCGTCAGAAACAAAAACTTTTTGCAAAAGAATAACAAAAAAAAAAGGAATTTTCAGGAGCCGGCAATTGAATGTTTAAAAACTCATACATAATCCAGTCAGCTAGAAAAACTTAACTATGCGACACGACGCCAGTCAAAACTACCTTGGATTACATAATTTATGTCCTCAGTACGAGAACAAAGTTATTAAAAAAAGTAGAAGTTCTAAAAAGTGCAAAAAAAGGCGCACAAGCCGTCTTGGGAAGTAAAACTCATGTTGCAAGCTCGCAGACAGTTCAAGTCCATGGCTCATCTGAGTGGTGCACACGGATAGCTAGTTGCGCCTTTCGATCGCTCTTTAATTATCGCCAGCCACGAGCGGCGCGTACGGTCAACTTAGCAATTCAAATTGCCATCTGTGCATACTTGACTCGGATACGTACCCAACCTGTGCGTGAAAGCTCACCCCGTCTGCTAAGTTTTGCCGCCCTACAAGACGTTGGACCCGCGTATAACCAACTTTTCTCGGAAACGGATATGAAACATATGCGGGACATTTATTTGAAATATCATTTTTTTCTGCTATACTACCATTCTTATTCTTTTGAGTGATTGTTTGAAGTATATAGAAAACTTGAGCTTTCCCCTGCACACTTTTCTTTGTTGAGTAACTTTCAAATTCCCTGATGGCTTATAAGTAGCAGCCTACGATGACGTACTTTTTCTGAAGTTTTGTTTTTATAGTTTTGTGAGGCTTAAATCAGCACTTAAATATCGCTTATCCGTGACTTAAGTAGTTTATTTTTACACTGAGCTTAGAACTCTCGTTGACGCTCAGGCGTTAATCGCACAGTGCAAAAGTTAAGACATACTTTGAGAAAACGCAAGTGCTGAATTAAGTTCGGCAATATTATAAAATAACGTACGATACTTGTGACCTGAATTTTCCATCGTTGTATGATATGATTATTACTAATATTACGCTATAAAATAGTAAGTTACTTAAGCCTATTAGGACATTGTAATATATTGTAATTAAATTATTATTACGGTATAATTAAATCATATCTTGAGTACAAAAACCATCATTACGATTTATTAAGTGTGAAGTATGTCTTTACAATTTTGAAAATTTCTAATGTTAATTCAGATTAGTTGTTTTGTCAAATTTACCAGTGAATACATGCTGAATCCGAATATTGAAATAGCTCGAAATACAATGGATAATGAATTATTACATATCAATCGTTTGAAATGTATTAAATTTCAGAAACTAGAAATGTAATGCAATATCACAAATATTAATAATGTCCGAGATTTAATATTAACTAGGGATATAAGAAACATATGTACATTATTTTTTTTTCTTTTTACATGAGTATCAGATTCTAATTTTTAATTGTTGCATATGGTTATTAGAAATATGTGACTTTTTATAAACATTAATAGAATATTAAACATATAATTTTTCCTAAATATATAGTAGAAATACTTCAAATAAGATATTGATTAAAATTATAATCAATCGAAGTTTGTGAACCGGTGTTAATAAATATTAAATTTGATGATGAGTTTTCACTCTGATAATAAATTTATGCAGACCCACAGTGTTATTGAGAAAGTTAGTTCTTATTTATTGCTGACGTCAGTTGTATACACGAAGTGAATGTTAGACTAGGAATATCCCATAAAATTAATGTACACTCTGTTTCGAAACTTATTCTCAAGATCAGCTACAATTTGGCTGATTAAGAAGGAAACTTCAAACTTGGTTCAAAACGCTTGCATAAATAAGGTCAACTCTTGACTCCGAGATTTGATTACCATACAAAACAAAACTTTTGAGATTTCTATTCAATTGATAAACTGTCGACGAAAGAAAAAAAATCAAGACTGAACTGAAATCCCATGATAAAAAAGGAGAAGGTGTCGGAATTGTTGTTACGTATCGAATGGTCCCGTCCAAAAAATTGGTTACATTATGGACATCGAAACATCGAAAAGCTACATACATGAAAAATGAGGGAGCTCTAGCTTAATGAAGAAAAAAAAGAGGAGGAGCGCGCGAGAGCAAGCGACACGCTGGCAAAGACGCGATAATGCGCTAGCTAATTGAAACTCATGACGATGGAAAAATGGCATTATACTCACATTATGAGGGAGGCTGAGTTCCGCCACCGCCGGTAGGATCAAAGCGTGGGCGTGCTCTCCTGGAAAACACGCGAGCTTTCCCTTTCTCCCTGGTCCACGCTCTCTCTCTCTCTCTCTCTTTCTCTCTCTTAATTGAAGCGTCCCACTAATTTAGCACTTTCTCGCTTGAGTTGCCACTCCATCGATCCATCCGAGGCACCTCTTCGCGCTAAACGCCTTATTTCATTCGTGCACGCAGAGCCTCTTTTCCTCCGTGTGAGCGTCATCTCAGATCTTCTTCATTCGCGCTGCCACTTTCTTCCTATATACCTATATGCACACACAAAGCCCTCTCTCACTCTGTTAACCAAGTTTTTCGTCTGTGTGATGCTTAAACACTGATGGATGCTGCACTACATTTAAGTCATTTGCGCTTTCTGCACTCTCTCTCTCTCTCTCTCTATCTTGACGTCAACCGTGATTTACAAGACAGCACTCTCTCTCTGCTACTTTCTTTCTCGTTTCCCGAATGAAAGGAAATTCACCGGGTGGAGACTATTATCCTTGAAGTGTTATGTTAACACCGTCAACCAGCGCAAGCGCTCCAGTCTTCTTCTTGTCTTGTTTGTTTAGATTTTGGTTTCTTCAACCGCTACTCTATTTGACTCTCTTAAACTGTTCATGCTGTTCTTTTATTCGAACATTAACTTCTCGCCTGATCACTTCTTAAAATGTCACCACATTTCTTTGCTATTTCTACAAACTACTTTTCGATTACTTCATTGTCACTACTCAACCAACTTTTTATACTTCGATTAATTTGACCTTTGAAATGTTTTCTAATGAGAGCGAAATTTCAAAGCAGACATATTTTTGTTGTCATTTCTCATTCGTTATCCCGAGACTCTCCACGCATAACCAATATTTCACTGTAGTAGCCCCTGCTCTCGTTCGATTTTGGTTTGTTTTTACCTTTCTGTTTCTGTTTTATGTTCAAACTAATTGAAATCGCCGAGATAAATGCTGAGTTAGCGTAACGTAAACAAAAATCCCCGCGACGTATGGCAAATTTAATATGAATCTGTGCGCGCGCACTCTCGGGCATTCATCCAGATAGGATAGGAGGTATATCCGGCGAGGGTTCTGACTGAATGATAAGCGGCATAATTGAGTAAATGCAAGTTTGCATTGCATTGGTCAAGGAGAGAGAGAGAGAATAAGACAGAAAAAAAAGTGAATAGGTGCTGTCGACCGTAAGTACAATGAAGCAGAGAGCGCAAGCTCGAAATCACAATTGCACAAGCGTCCTCATGGTACCTCGGTCAATGCGTATGTGTTTATCTCTCTTTTCCGTCCGGTGCGTGATTGGCGTGGAGAGCACGCGCGCACACGCGTCTCCGACTCGTCTTCTCTCACTACTCGCTCGTCGGTGAACGAACGACGACTACTGCCCGCCGCTTGCTTGCGCACCCGATACTCGCTCTCGTCAAAGCTTCACGTTGCCAGAGGGCGCGCGTGCCAAACAGCCCCTCTCAAATTCTCTTGCAAACAGCATAGAAAAGAATTTCTTGCGTGAGTAGACGATGAAAGCAAAAATCTCCCGTATCATTACTGCACGCAGTTAGGGTGTTCTTTTTCCTTACACACACCCTCTCTCTCTCTCTCTCTCTCTCTCTCTCTCTCTCTCTCTCTCTCTCTCTAGGCCTCGGTTTTATGCTTAGCCACTGAAATTGATGATTTGTGGTTACATGAGATGGGTCTTTTTCTTTTTCATTCATTGCTTGTCCTGTGATCAGTGCTTCTTACTTTGAATTCGATTACTTTCGGTCATGCAGTGATTGCTCGTAATTGGAAAAATGAAATTCAATGCCTGTTATCGACGGAAATAGATTTTCAAAGAGAAGCAGCTTAATATTAAGTGAATTAATAAGTAATTTGAACAATTCTCATATTTTACTAGTTCAAAATTTTCTCACACACAGCGTCTATAAATAATTACTATTTTCAAAATATATTACCAACCAAGCAATAAATAATAATTTTTTTCTTCACTTTCTGAGCGAAATATCAAAGTGAACACTTATGTCAAATTCAGATTTACGTTTCAATACTTCTACCGACAAAATAATACGTAAATTGTTGTAGTGATGATAATCATACGTAATCTTTTAAAAATTTCTATGAATAATTATTTGGAGTTTCATAAGACAGAAAACATATATTTTTAATATTTCACATAAAATACCATGCTTTCGAAAATTCGGACATACTCGAAACTTCAAGCGAATATAATCGTATACTTTAAAGTAATTATATATGCAATATATATGATAGATCTACCTGATTAAACATCAGAAAAGTGATATAGAAAATGAACAAGATTAAATATTTTACGAAGTTAAGTCATACACATTATAACATAGCGTACTGATAACGCTTTATATGGTATCCATTGTTATTTTGCAGTAATTTATAAGATATATCTTTTCAAATACCTTCCAATAAATTGCATTGAAACGCACTTATCGGTTTGTCATTCGCGGTACCATATACATACAAGCAGAAGTTATACTTACAACACAGTATTCAGTTATTATGCTATTAATTAAACGGTCATTTAACTGGTAGCGAAATAACCCAATTAGGTTCCATTGAAGCATTACTCTATACAGTAATTGAAAATGAAGATATCGATAGTACATAATAACGGTAATGGTGATAATTCTTTATAGTAGCTGGAAGTTATATAACTATAAGTAGATAAGTACATTTATAAAGAATTTATAAATATTTACTTCTTCCAATATATTTAGTAAATATTTTCATAGATACATGCATATCTATGATACAAGCATTTTGGTTAACAGTAAAAAACATGTTTCTTATATTGATGTCTGACACAAGTCGAAGCTATACTACTAACTCAAACCCAAACAGTTGGTTCAGGACATATTAATTATTTTATTCATTATTTCTTTGTATGCAGCTAGAATATTCTACTACACTTACGTACTATTTTCACTTATTATTTATTATTACTATTTCTATATCTTATTAGAAAATCTATTTAAAAATTAATTGGAAGATAATTAAATTAAGGAAAATATTGTCACATTATAGATTTTCATTAAATAAAATATTAATAAATGAACTTGAAGACGAAAAACAATTATTTAAAAAACACAGTAACATTTTCTAATATTAAAAAATGTTATATTCTTATGTTCAAATAACTAAATCAATTTTAAAAGACCCATGTAGCAGATTTCCGCAGAAAGTATTTCATTTGTTACTCGTGCATTCGTCATAAAATCATTTACTCCAATTGAGACTTGTTGATTTTGAATAATATTGACAATAAAGTAGCGCCGAATAAAATCGAAATGTGTCGAGCGCAGAGCACAAACGCTTTTCTTATTTGCTTGAGCTCTAGACCGTTCTTGAGAATGAAAGTATTTCAAAGGTTCTGCGTTTGTTTACGGAGAAACGGACTGAATAAGAGGATTGCCTGAATTCGAGAGATTTCACGCTAAACGAAATGGAATATGGGATTGACGTGTTTTTGTGATTATCTTTCAATCGTTTCCTCGCGTATTTTAGTTCAAGTTACATGTTTATTCTCTAGATAAATAGTCGACGTGGGAAATGCACTATAAAATTTCTTTATGTGGCATTCGAAATAAAATTTCTCAACAAAAGTAGAAAAGTAATTTTCATCAAACTGTTCCCTACATTGAATTCAACTATTATTTTACATTACCTTTTTAACAAGTGTAATAAGAAAGAGGGGAAAGTAGAAATTTATGAAATTTATAAAGTTGTGTCAAAATATTACATTGCCGTATTGCAAGTTCATTTCTTTATAAATCGCTTTGTATTCGACTCAACTATGCAATTGGTCACATTCTGATAATAATAAAAAAATATGCATGAGAAATACATTATTTGTCTTGTAATTTAGTGAAAAGAAATATACAATACCTGATACGAAATCTATTTATGCAACCAACTGCTTTAATGACGACTCAGAAATTTACGAGCATGGGCAAAGTAATGGTTTTATTAATCAAACAGTAAGCGTAGAAATAAATAAAATAGAGATTAATGGAATGGAGATGAAAAAAGCACACAGCTGAGCCGAAGCCATTAACAAATAAAAGCCGGACAAGATAAACAATATCCAAATATGTTTTTTATGGTTCATAACAGTAAATTAAAGATCCAATTGTTAGCTAACACATGAATAATTTATCACCCTCACGTACGAGTCATGTACTTGTATATACCGCTCTCTCAGTCTGACCGATTCTAAGGTCATATGTAATGTGATCACATGAAAAATACAACACAATGTTTCTAGTTAACTTAATTATTCCACGCTGAAATTCAAGTATCCGCGAATCGATTCTTTTGATTGACTTTTTATAAATAAAGAGATCGAAGCAAAAAAATAGAACGTAATTTAGCAACCAAACTTATGTATATGTAAACTACTATTCGTTGTCTTCTGATGTATTGGAGTACCATGTATACGTATATATATGCGCGCGCATGACATATCAGTGTATTCACATGTATTTTTTATACGCTTGATTGTTGGCATTGACACTACTATTAGTTTCATTTACGGAGCACGAATCGTTGTGAATAATTTATGCAAACACTGACATTTTTCGCGAGCGAACTCCGTCATTGTTTTGAAATTGCAGAGCGCCCACGCGCTCACGATAGCTGCGTGCCATAAAAGGTTAACGATCGATTCTATACTCTGTATGCCTTTTTTTCGTCTCCAATAGTGATTGAGCGAGATGTAAGCTATAAAATCCCGCTGAGTTATTACCTACATTTTCGTTGACTGCATACGAATTGACTGATATATTACAAATCGTTGCAAAAAAACCTTATTTCATGTCATGTTGGAACTCATGAATTTCGTATGTGGTAGAAAATGGTTTGTTGTGCCAAGAAAAATTCAATTTTGAGAAAATCTCCGTATTAGAAAATGAATTTAGCCTGATGTTTCTTTTTATAGACAAAATCGCTTTACACATAATAAGAACATTTATTTTTGAACTAAGAGGATCCTCTTGATGTAAAACAGTAATTGCCTTATGACTATATTATAACGAAACTCTTTTTATTAATTCAATTAACATTAACAGAATTAATTTACTGGCATGTATATAGATTTATTACGTTAATATATTTATTTGCTTGTATGTATAAAGACCATAATGGATGCGTGGAATTTCATCCAAGAAATAATGAATAACGAATTTACTGAAAAAAATATCCTTTCTAAGTATTTTCATCCCAATGTAACTTAATACACGTTTAATACACATATCTGAATAGCACACTTAAATTAGATTGGATGAATAATAACAAAATGACAGATTGAGTCCATGCGGACTCTTCGGTGACATAAATGTCACAAAACGTCCCTAGTGTATAATATTTATTATCTTTTCAAAATCGTAAAAAGATATTTATAAGACTATCCTTTGCAAAAGAATAAAAATACAATATTTATAGTCCTAATTTCATACTGCAATATTTTTTATACATATCTTAAATCATAATTCGCTTTGACATCGTACGAGTAAAGTGTGATTTTGCAAAACTGCATTTAAGGAAGTTTTGTGGATAAGCGATATAAAAGTTAATGTTGTATAGCATTAGCATAATAAAAAAGTTTAGTGCATTACTTTACGAAATCAAGAATATTTTCTTTTGAACAAGGGCAGAAATTCAATAATTATGCAATTTTTCGTCCATTCAACCAATAATATACTGATGTCCAATTAGGCGAAATTGAAAATAATTGATTATATACTTTCATCTTTGTTTATATTTCACTTGGCTAAAGTAATAATTCGATATAAAAGCACATAATACTGGCATTAAATAAAGCTTAAGGTGATGTAAAAGAAGGAAAGATTTCCGTAGAATTTTAGTAAATGGATAGATTAGAATTTAATTAAGTCAGAAGTGTTACTTGTTACAAAGTTTTGAAGGAATCCAGGAGATGATCTCTACAGTGATGAATGAAGGCGAGGAAGGACGAGGCGTGACATCAATGTCTTGTTAGGGTTGCAGTCCTATATGAGCGACGTCGTGACATTAGCCTCTGATGCGATATTCAATATCGAACAGGCTGTGTACCTAGAAAGTATTTGCGATGCATAGTGCAATTACAGAATTGTAAAAAAATACTTCTACATATTTAGTGTACTTGTCGAAAAGTTTAAAATGATTCTTTATACGTATAAAATCTTTAAGCAATCGATTTAGAACCAGAGAAATGTTAATTCTTCATCAAAAATACAAAATGTTTGATGGTAAAAGTTCAAAAGATTAATTCAGTATAATAACGTCTGAAATGCATTATTTATTTTTTACAATACTCCTTTATTTATTCTT